TAGAAGAAGCTGGGAAGGTAGCTTCTCAAGCTGTCGAGAACATAAGAACAGTGCAAGCTCTGAATCGACAGGAACAATTTCACTTTATGTACTGCGAATATCTTCGCGAACCTCACAAGTGAATTTATCAGCTGGTGGATTTTCGATTTAAATGAAGTCCTATTTTTTAGACAAAATCTCTGCCAAGCTCATACCTATGGTGGTGTATTCGCCTTTTCACAATCTCTAATCTTCTTCATGTATGCTGTAGCATTCTGGATTGGTTCAATGTTTGTGAACAATAGCTCAATGCAGCCTATCGACGTCTATAGGTAAACAAGAGATCATTCTCAATTTTTCCTTTAACGCTCCCAGATTAAAATTACAGAGTTTTCTTTGCCTTCATGTTCTGCGGACAAATGGTTGGCAACATCTCATCGTTTATCCCTGATGTGGTAAAGGCAAGACTAGCCGCTTCGTTGCTCTTTTACCTTATTGAGCATCCTACGGAGATTGACTCGCTATCCGAGGACGGCTTTAAGAGAGTTAGTCCCAATCAAGAACCCCTTTTCAAGTGTTGTGCTTGAAAGTTGGAGTATTTCAGAAGCTCACTGGGCATATAACTTTCCGCAATGTCTACTTCAACTATCCCACACGAAAGCATACACGAATTCTACGAGGATTGAATTTGGAGGTTAGCAATCTCGGTTGACATTCTTTTAATGCAGGTGATGTTATAGCTGCATATCTTTTTTGCTGCAATGTTTTAAAGTCTCACCTCAGCTGCTTACAATTTGAAATTTATTATAGGATACCAAATTTTATACCATTAATGTTACTTTTTAGTTATCAATTTTTATTTTATTTATTATTAATCTTACACAATGTCGAGATTTTTTTTTTGATCTGTCTATATTCTAGCACTTAATGTGCATGATAGAGAAATTAATTATAACATCGTTGAATACATAATTATTTATTCATGAATTTTCATTTATAGCATTTTTATTATATTTTACGCATCGCAATTCTTCGAGTTGACCAGTCATAATCGTAAATTTTGACCCATCTATGATTGATAAGGTTAAACATTATTTAAATTTATTTGAAAGCAAAATTTATTGCCGCTCCTTATATCCCTCAGCACTTTTGTATTCTATTCATTAGCTTTACTGCAGGTCAGGCCAGGTACGACAGTAGCCTTAGTTGGACGATCTGGATGTGGAAAAAGCACAGTTATGGCATTGCTGGAACGATTTTACAATCCAAAGAGGGGGACTATCGTAAGCAGCGAATGAAAATTTCGAAAGGGCGCACTCATCTGCACAATTCAATTCTTTCAGATGGTTGATGGCGAAAATATCAAAAATTTGAACATACGTAGCCTTCGCGAGCAAGTATGCATTGTTAGCCAAGAGCCTACACTTTTTGACTGCACTCTTCGAGAAAATATCTGCTATGGACTGGAAGAGGAGCCAACCTACGAGCGCATTGTAGAAGCCGCCAAAATGGCAAACATTCATAACTTTATCCTTGGACTTCCACAGGTGACAAAGTAAATTTTTTCTCAGATCGGAAAATAATTAGTTCATTTCAGGGCTATGATACCCGCGTAGGCGAAAAAGGCACCCAATTGTCCGGTGGGCAAAAACAACGTATAGCTATAGCACGAGCTCTAATCCGAAATCCTCCAGTACTACTTCTTGACGAGGCTACTAGTGCATTAGATACAGAAAGCGAAAAAGTGAGTTCTAAGGTCCTAAACAAAAAGAGAGCTAATGCTAGTTTAGCCTATAATTATGTGGCTTCAGGTTGTCCAAGAAGCTCTGGAAGTAGCAAGCAAAGGTAGAACATGTATAGTTATCGCTCACAGATTATCAACAATTCAAAATAGTGATGTTATAATCATGGTTCAGGAGGGTAAATCTGGTGATAGGGGTAAGTGAAATATATAACTCAAATTGAAAAATTACAACCAATTAGCTAATTTCAGGCACGCATGAACAATTGCTGAGACGAAGTGATTTGTATAAAAAGCTATGCGAAACGCAAAGACTTGTGGAGT